AATTTTTACCTGTTTCATCAGGGTATTCTTAAGCAAGAGTTTTTAAACCTGTGAGATCATGGTGATGAAAGTGATGCAATAACATAATAAAATGATATAATACAATATGGTAATTTTGCCTTGATTTATGCTAAAGAACCAATATCATTTGGCTGTGTCCCCACCCAAATCTCATCTTGAATTGTAGCTCCCACAATGCCCACATGTCATGGAAGGGACCTAGTGAGAGGTAATTGAATGATGGGGGTGAATGTTTCTCATGACAGTGAATACGTCTCATGAGGTCTGACAGTTTTATAAAGAGAAGCTCTTTTTCTTGTCTGTTGCCATCCGTGTAAGATGTGACTTGCTCCTCCTTGCTTTCTGCCATGATTGTGAGGCCTCCCCAGTCATGTGGAACTGTGAGTCTATTAAACTTCAGTTCTTTATAAATGACCTGGTCTCGGGTATGTCTTTATTAGCAACATGATAACAGACTAATACAAGCACCAACAGTTTTACTCACCATTGATTTGGCACCGTTGGTGCAAATGTCAATACAGTGGGAAAAAAAGTACATCTTAATATTATTATGAAAATAATTTTGACCTCATGGATCCACTAAAAGTGTCTTCAGGATTTCTAGAATTGTGCAGATTACACTTTGAAAACTGCTGCTTGAGGGGGTTTGTTTTAAAAGAACCACAGTGTTACTGTGTCATAGCTCTTATTGGCCTCCTTTGGTAAGGTGTTTCAAGAAAGAGATGAACTCAGAAAGAAATGGCTAGTTTCCAAGCCAGATGGAAAACAATAGAACATATCCAGACTTGAGTGAACAATGGTAGAAATCCATCTGCTTCTAGATCCCACACAGAACCACAAGGCCCAGAAAGACTTTTTAGCTGAACAGTATGACTTAGCTACAGATCCGATTAATGGACAAAGAGACCTGAGAGAGGGAGAGAAAAGAGAAAAGACCTGAGAGTTATACAAGGAAGCAAATACAACAGAAGCCTACCAAGATTTCGAAGAACTTGTATTGTCAAGAAATCCAAAATATCTTATTAAAACACCTTTGACTGTTTGACCTATAAAATCACCTTTTTGCTTTGGCTACACTCATTTCAGCTGTGTCCAAAAGGAATAAATAAACAATAAGAACTTCTGAAGGGAAAAGCTTGAGGGTCAAGCAAGAAAAAGACAAAAGACTTATTTCCAGAAAGCAGAATTAAAGTTTAATCCACAAATTTATCATCTCCCCAGGCTAGGGGATATCACGAGGCCTGCCAAACAGGATTGTAGAATTATAGTGTCCTAGTGAACATGTACATCCCCTGATTCCTTTTTTCTGAATGGAGTTTTAATTGCAGTTATGCTGTCCCTGTGCCACCACTGTATATAGAGCAAGCCCATAACCAAACTCCACTCTCCCTCCGCTCAGCTGCCTGCCAGATACAAGGGTCTGGGGGGAATTCTAAGCTAATAGCAGGTGGTGTAACCACGAGATGGAAGAAGCCTGGTCACCTGAATGAAGCAGATCCTGTCCAACCAACCTGTGCTGAATTGTGACACGAACAAGGAATATATGTTTATTGTGCTAAACCACTGAGATTTTGATTCCAGCATTTGCCACAAACATTCTTTATTACAACACTGAGATGACTCTGAATAATACGGAAGCTATTCCATTGATCTGCTCAGAGGAACTGAACTATGGCAGTGACAGAAATAAGAAGAAATACATATTTTAGAAGTAGAATCACTAAGCTATCACTAGTGGGATATGAGAGCAGAATGAGGTAGGGTAAGGAGTCTGGGATGTGTTCCAGCTTTCTATCTTGGGTTGAAGTGGGTAGAGTTTTGGATGGCACTCAGAACAACCCAGTGAATTTGTCCAATAGGCAAGAGCTTGGGACAGAGATGTGGAAAGCAGGCACATATAGGGCAATCATCAGCTTATAGATGATGGTTGAAGCCATGAGGCAGGAGGAATAGTGGATAAAATATTTTGGGAAGACAATTCAGAGAGAGAAGAACACAGAGGTTGTTTAATGAACAGCAGAGAGAGCAGAGTCTGCAAAAAAGTGAAAATAAACCCTCAGAACGGAAAAAAAAAAAAGGCAGAAAAGGATAGGTCACAGAAACCAAATTAGAATTAAAGCACACTTTAAAAACACTTTAAACACTTTAAAAGAACACTTTTAAGAATTGTGAAATGATAAAGAATCATATTTCAAAGAGGTAAAATATAATCAGAGCTAAATATTTATGAAATTTTAGAATTAAAAGAGTATGGGTGATCTTCATGAAGATAATTTCAATGGAGCATTGATACAAAATTCGGATTATTATGTGATAAGTGTCTTTTGATTTTATAAATGAAAAAACAGAAGGGTTACATCTTGACCAAGATTGACAGCACATGTTGGAGCTTTGTTTTGAATTTTTGCCTATTCAACACCATAACCCATGCTCTTCCATTCTTCCAAACTGAATCTGAAAACCTCACTTAGGTAATAGGTGGATTCAGATAAAATTTTGATTATAATCTTGCTAAGGCCAGGTAAAATAGAAGGCTATTGAAATCATAGGATTGATATTTTCAGAGAGGAAGGTGTAGAGAGGTGACTAATGTTCTATCATATTTCTGAGAGGATTCTTTCTTTTTCTCTCTCTCCTCCCTCTTTTTATTCTCTTGAGCAGATTCTATTGATAATATTGGTAACCAGGAGTTAAGTTTTTTTAACATGAATAGGTTAAATGTTATATTGTGGGTATAAATTTTATATTCATAGCACGAATATAAAAATCAACTACTTATGACTATTTACACTGGCTTAGGGACAAAGGTGGTAAGAGCTGTTGGCCACAACTATCTGATCTATATCTGTGTCTTATTTTTAACAATGGGGCTATTTTGGTTTTAGAACATAGGATGTCTGAATCTTCTAAAATCACTTCTTCCTAAAATTGTAAGGTTGCAGTTGACTGATAAAACTTTTTCTCTCATATAAAACTAATTGACAAGATCAAAGACTGCAAGAGTTTGAGCACTACCTTCACATTTACCAGAGGATTTGGTGGCAATTCAGTATTTAAAGTATAATCTCCAAACAAGCTAAAAACAGAGGCAAACATTTTTAGGAGATTTATCCTATGATCTTCTTTTCATTAATAAACATAAAGGTTTATGTTACCCTAAATGCTATCATAGAACACTATTTCAAAATAAGTACATTAGCAAATTAAATGAAAGACATGTCAAAACCTGAAGCAGCATTTATTCTTGTGAGCCAAGGTGTCTACAAATTTTGTACAGGAAATGTAACTTTTCTTCACTTCATACAGTGACATTTTGTATGTGCTGAAATTTTGAAATACTGTGCACTGACATGTTTCACAATGAGCCTTCCAGAATTTTGAGGCATTTGAGGGGACACATACTCAGTGGTTGTCTGGGTCAATACTGCCTTAGTGAGAACATTTGCACATTCTCACAATTGTAAAGTTTCCCCACTATTTTTGTGACCAATACTACTGTAAATATATTTGGCTTTTTACAGTTCACAGGGTATTAATAAGCTGCAGTACTATGTACATTTAATAAGTCATAAACAGCATTCATTACCTTGGTATATTATTAAAAATGAAATTTTGTATGAAATGAAGAAAAGTAATTGGCATTATTTGAATCCATTACTTATTAAATTTTACCACTTTTGTACAAATGAACCTTTCTTGGCATGTACTGATTTCCTAATCTGGAATGCATGCTAACATATTTTCATTTAGATATCTTATTTTTGGTAGCGAAGTACCTTCCAATTTGGGACTCAGAACATTCAATTTAGAGTATACACAAAGTCAAGAATACATACAGTCAGCATTATTAAACATAAACCTTGATACTGCCTGACTTTAGTTGCAATTTTTTGATAGCATAATTCAGTGTTATTTGTCCCCTTTGCATTTCTATAGCAACTATTTCTGTGAAAGTTATGTGTTTGGTTGAAGTTTTCTAGAGCAGAAAAGAATCATTTGTAATTTTTATTTGAAGGTTGTTTTGCAGTGATGAGGAATTGAGAGATGCCCTTCATTGTATGCAAAATTATTTTTAAAAGCCCTCTACCCTACACATACACATGTGTGTGCACACACATCTTCATGTCCAATGTTATAGATATTAAGTACCATCTAATTACTCATATTATCTTAAAACAGGGTAGCAGATCATAGATAATCACTTTTTAAAAATTAGTTAATTGAAAGAAGACAATCTAAAAGGAGAGAAAAAACACCTAACTCCATCCTGAAATTTCATGTTATTTTTAAATTGCATATGAGAATTTTTGTAAAAGATAGGTTCAAAAATGTGCCTATTACCTGCCACTTACACATTTAATGTAAGAGATAAGGCAACATTTTAAGAGACACTATTTGGCAATACACACTACCACACAGAAAATTTAAAGAAAACAATTAAGCTTAAGAAAAAAAAAAATAATAAACTTAATTTTGTTTCCAAATCAAGCTTATTTCTATAGCAGTTTTAAAACATTTTGTTTGGTTGTTCTCATCAAGACTTTCTATCCTATTCTAATAACTAATTAAGAGAACCCTAAAGCTTTCTGCTTTTGTAATGTAACATTTGAAGAGATAGATTTCTAGAGAATATTTTCCAAATCTGTTATACTATGGAAGAACAGTATCATAGCTTCTGAATTTCTTCTCAAATGTCAGTATGGTTTAACACAAAGGCAATGAAAATAGAAAACTTACATGCTGATTTTAAGTTCTACATATCTGAAATTCTTAGGCAATAAACATGTTTGTAGACAGGTAAAACTAATAAGGCTAAAACTTTGGTTTTTAAAATTAGAACAGTTACTATCTTTTATTGTCATTAGTTATATATATTAAAGTCAAATGAAAGAGCTATTTGGTAATTTTATAATACTGATTTCATTCATTAATTTAACAAGTATGAATTGATTATTTACTCTGTGACAAGATATTATTACCTATATCCCTGGATGCAGAACAAAGGGTTAGCCTCTTAATAGTTTCTGAAACATCACGATTAATCCTGGCTGTCATGGTAAAGGAAGACCATTTGGTGCATATACTGAGTAAAATTTTAAAAAACACAGAAAACAAAAACTGTATATCAATGAGTAACAAAAACTACAATTTAACTGGGTTGGGATCAAAGGTTGTAAGAGCTGTTGGCCACAACTATCTGAAAAGAAACCAAAATGTCAAGTTGACCTCTTAATGGTAACTGGGTAAATACCAAGGTTCAGTGGTTTGCTCTTGATGCACATCCAAACATTTGGACATCTGTCCAATATTTTTAGCTAGAGATTTTTACTAACGTAGTTTTTAAAAATGTAAAATATGTGACTTGCTATAGAACATTCATGGTCTATTTTTATCATATTAAATGAAAAAGTTCCATGTTTTGAATGCATTTCATTTTCTTAAGTTCATAAATGAAAGTAGCATGACATTATTTATGAATCATTTTTGATAGCAAAAATTCTGTATTGTGAATTCAGAACTGAAGAGTAAGAGAAAATAAATAAGTTGTTACAGACTGTGATGCAGTTTGTGAAAAAACAAAATGGTTGGAGTGAATCATAGTGACTGGGGCTGGGATAAGGGTAGGAAAGAGGTCAAGAAGGACCAGTGTGAGAAGGTAACACATGAGCTGAGATTTGAAGGATGAGTCCTGGGAAGAACCAGGGAAAGATTCTTCTAGGTAAAGAGAACGAAATATAGCAATATGAGGTGAAAGGAACTTCATTAAGAAAAGGAAGGGGGAAAGCTTAAACTCCCCTGAATAGGATCTTTCCAACATAGATTATTTTCTATCAGGTGGAGAGTGCTCTGCTATGCAGCAGGACAGCCTAGGTCCAGCAACAGTAATCGACCGTCCCCCAATCCCAGATGCTCTAAACCACTAGGTTCATTTCTCACTCACTCTATGTGTCCATTGCAGGGTGGCTAAGTGCTGTGCTCTGCATCCTCCTCTCTCCAGGACCCACGCAGACAGAGTAGTCACTATCTGGAACACAGCAGTTTTGGTGACAAAGCAAAAAGAGAAAGCGTGGCAAATTGCGTACAGGCTCTTAAAGGTTCTGAAAACTTCCACTCACAATTCATTGGCCAAAGCTGTGACTTATCTCAAGTCAGCAAGGAAGTGTAATTCTCCAGTGTGCCCAGAAGAGGAGTAGAACTGGAAATATGAATGAGTGACAGTAACATCTCCTAGAGGGGGTCCGTGAGCAACCTGGAATTGTGTGTACGATTGTGTGTGTGTGTGTGTGTATGTGTGTATGTGTGTGTCTGTGTTGGTATGCGCTTGTCTCTGGGGAGAAGATCCATTTCTTTAATCAGATTTTCAAGGGATCTGTGACACGACAACGATTAAAAACCACTGGACCAGTTGAAAACTGCCATGTAAACAGATAATTGCTATACAAGACAATTTGCAGGATGAGTGAGAGGCTGAAATTATTAAAGAATTGTGCTCTGTGTGTTTGTGTGTGTGCGTTTGCACACATGCATGCTCACACATGGTGACAAGGAAAAAGCTGAGCCAATGTGTAGACTGAAATGTAGAAGGCAGAGTTCAGAGAGTGATAGATTAAAGACACCAAAGTGTGAGGGGACATGCCTGATGTAATGAGGTCCCTGAAGATGCCTGAGGAGATGGTGTCCAATATTCTCTAACTTCAGGGATTTGAAGAGATTACTCTTCTTTGACTTTGAAGAAACGGAGGGAGAAGCTAGGTGTCCTCATGGGTCAGTTTGCTGACGGAGGGGAAGAAGAGGAGCTCTATTTTGTCTGTGATATATGAGCAAGGTCATCTGCTTAGAATGAGGGGATTGTAGAGCATGTTAATAGTTTGGAACAGCTGTAAGGGAAATCTGAAACTGAGCTGACTGGGGAGAAATAAAAGGACCGCCAGTAGCACAGAGGGCCCAGCTGATGCTGGAAAACATAGATTTGTCAGAGTGCCAGTAAATGGAGTTATGTGATTTTTCTCTGCCCATGCTCAGCTGCCTGGAAGCAGGAGTTGAGAAAGTTAACAGTTGGATCGATGCAGGGCTGGGGATTGGCAGGGCAGGTGCAGCAACATGTTTTACTTACAGTTTGAAGTTCAGGAGTCTGAACAGGCAAAAAGAACTAATTTTGCCTCTAATTTTAAAAAATAAGTTGGTAAATAATGGTGATAATGGTGAGAATAAGCTATATATAGAGAGCTATCACCTGTAGTTATCCTCTGTGAGTTGCTATTCTTGCTCCCTGGAGTTCATAACTGATGTAACTACTATAACTATGGCTAAGGATAAGTAGTGTAGCTTATTTCTTATTGCTTAAGTAAAATTAATCATGCTTCAGCCACATGAGATTTTTTTTTTATGTTCCTAATACTCCCTTATTCCTCTGGTAAAATCTGGCAGAAGGAAGGTAAGAGAAAAAAAATTAAAGCCCTAAAAATATAATTACATATTCAGAGACAGAATCGCTTAGCTAAGCATCTTGCTATTAATTAGTACGTTGTAAATTTTGCTGCCTTGGCTGATACTAAGTCATCGTATTTAGAAGACCCATTAAATGAAGACAAAAGAAAAACATCTGGAGTAGCTTAGCTCCGAAGTAGACCTCAGGCTGAAATAGCATTGTATTGCATTTCTCTGCTCCCAATTGCCTGCCAAATTCCCCAATTTCCCTGATTTCTGTGAGGTTACATCATAAACATTTGATAAAAAATAGTGTTGCTCTTCATGAAGGCTACATATGCACACTGAAGGCAAACACAGCCCTGATAGTAATTCTGGATTACTGAACAACATTCCATAGGCTCTGTCATTTTATTTTCCATTTCTTCAGAGCAGAGGTTTCATCTCTTAAATATTGATGACTGACAGGTGAGGTGAGCAAGCCAAATGTGATCATTTAGAATTGCATTTGGGGCTGAAAGTAAATGTGACTTTTCACATCCTTCCTCAACACAAAGGATTTAGCAGGAGGCAAGCGTGTTAAAATTCTAAAAGGAGATTATTGCTGCAAATGGCTTTTCCCCAGAAGACCCTCTCTCAGAATTTCAGTTGTTGATAACTAGCAGGTTTTATCTCTAAGAACTAAGATCATTTTCTCATCACTTCTGGCCTGCCAACTTGTAGACTGTCTTCAGCTGAAGCAGTGCTGCCAGAAAGAATAACTGGAGAAGTTACTCAACTCTATTTATTTTAGAGTATGATAATTTGAGGGAAAATTAAAATTGTCAGTTTTCCATTACACCCTCAAGCTCTCAGTGCTGGTTATCTCATCAGACCTAAAAAACATACTTTGGCGGAAAATTGTGTAAACAGACGGAAAAGCCAAGAAAAATAAGGAACTAATGTCTCATCAAGGGCCACATGGTATGTTTAGGGCAGAGCTGAGCACCTGAACATCCTTACTGATCTGACCTGAGGACTTCCTGCTGGAGTCCCAGGACAGGGAGATGTGTAGATGCTGAGTATCTGAAGTAAACACTGGGCAGTTATCTGAGGTCTGGTTATGTAAGTGGAAGGACAATGGATTTTTTTTTTTTTTTTTTTTGCGACGGAGTCTGGCTCTGTCGCCCAGGCTGGAGTGCAGTGGCCGGATCTCGGCTCACTGCAAGCTCCGCCTCCTGGGTTTACGCCATTCTCCTGCCTCAGCCTCCCGGGTAGCTGGGACTACAGGCACCCGCCACCTCGCCCGGCTAGTTTTTGTATTTTTTAGTAGAGACGGGGTTTCATGGTGTTAGCCAGGATGGTCTCGATCTCTTGACCTCGTGATCCGCCCGTCTCGGCCTCCCAAAGTGCTGGGATTACAGGCTTGAGCGACCGCGCCCGGCCTGACAATGGATTTTTAAATGTTCACATTTTGACCTGCAATGACCTGTAGCAGAGGCCTAGGGACTCTGAGCGCTCTGAGGGCAAGGACGCTGTAGAGTTCATCTTTGTATACCTGGCCCCAAGCCCAGTGGCTGGCATAAGACTAGAAACCCAATCAACGTTTAAGAAATTCTGAATAAATTCAGATCCTTTAAAAATGTTATCGGCAGGGCTTGGTGGCTCACACCTGTAATCCCAGCACTTTGGGTGACTGAGGTGGGCGGATCACGAGGTCAGGAGATCGAGACCATCCTGGCTAACACGGTGAAACCCCATCTCTACTAAAAATACGAAAAATTAGCCGAGGTTGGTGGCGGGCGCCTGTAGTCCCAGCTACTCCAGAGGCTGAGGCAGGAGAATGGCGTGAACTCGGGAGGCGGAGGTCGCAGTGAGCCGAAATCAGGCCACTGCACTCCAGCCTGGGCAACAAAGCGAGACTCTGTCTCAAAAAAAAAGAAAAAAAAAAGAAAAAAGAAAAAAAAGTTGTCAGATAACCTCATTTCTCTACTCAGAATGCTGCAGTAGCTTCTCATTTCTCTGGAGGTAAAAGTCAAAGCCCTGACAGATCTGGTCTTTGCTGCCTCCTCTCCCTTCCCAATTCTCGCCCCCACTCACCCTCCCCAATGACTCCTTATCCACAAGAGGCAGCTCCCTTTGCACTGGCTGTTCTTTAAGCCTGGACTCTTACTCTACATACCTAGCAGGCTTCCTCCCTTATTTTCTTTAAATTTTGTTCATATGTCACTTTTCATTGAGTAATAGTTCCACTGTCCTTTACAAAAATTGCAGCTCTGTTACACCCCCTGCCCATTCACATGGTGATCCTGCTTAGCCTGCTCCATCTTTTCATAACACCACTTTCTAACTCTAAATTACCATAACATTTACTATTATTATGTTTATATTTTGTCTCTCTCCTTCTAACAAGGGTAAGGATTTTTGTCACTTCTGTTCAGTTATTCCCAGTGTTTCAGCCAGTGTCTGACACATAGAAGATGCTTTGCAAATAATTGTATGAATAAATGAACAAAGCTGGATTAGTGAAGCAAGTGAGTGCACGTGTCTCATGGTGAAAGAGATGCACTCTTAAAGATGGGTGTAAAGGTTAAAGGGACCATTAGTTTTGGTAAATCTATAGAGGTGTACACTCATTTTCATATTCAAAAGCCCTTGTAATTCCAGACAAACTTTGTCAACCTCCAGACTCAAAGCTACGGACTTTCAACCTGTTAACTGTGAAGTTCTCTTGGTAAGAATGTGTGGTTCAATTCTTGATGAA